AATTTGTAACGAGTGAAACAAAAGAATCTTTTGTTACAAGAATCAATGCGCCTCTGGTTGACACATTATATCAATAGTCGGCCGCTATTTCTCAATTTGAAGATACAGAATAAATAAGCCCTAAATCTGAAGGACAAAGGACGACTCGCACAGAATAAATTAGAGTTTTTGATCAAGTTGAGCACGTCAACCGGAAGTGAGGCGTTTTCCCTCTTTATATCTTTTTATATTCCATGAAGCTACCATATTTATATTGCTTAGTGTCTTAATGTTAAAAAGAAAATTTGCCGAAAATTTGGGCAAACCACCGCTCAATTATACGAACGATAGCGACGCGAACGACTCCGCACTTGCCTGCAGAGCGAAAGTTCTGCTCGCTGGATACTTCCAGTTCACGTGCATCGATTGACACGTGACAAGCTCCGACCATCTCTCTCAGACTCTCTCCCTGGAACGGGAAGAAGAGAGAGATTCTAGGGACGACGTTGTTACCTTGAGCTCCCGTAGTGACCAGTATCAAATTTCTCCTCACAATATCAGGGCATAATCAAGACAAGAAGTCTTGAGATGTAAAACAACGATCACTTAAAAAAGAACGAAGGACAGATAGAAACATTTTTTGGTTGATATTTGGGCTTAACAAATTACTCGTCCAGTGTTTGTCTAATACAGTCCTTTATAACAAATATAATGGTTTTAGCAGATATATTGGGAAATTAATTTTACCATAGGAATCGTTCGGGACTGTTTTTATCTGCTTATTTTCTGTAATTTCTGAGAAATCCTCAACTTAACAGGGGCACCCAACGAGATTATAGTTCAAAACCACTTAAATGACATAGCATTGTTAAACGTAGTTCAGAAGTTAAACGGTAGATAAAGGCATATTTTTATCCCCTGAAAATTTTTCATCTGTTCGGATTTCCGAGCTGAAAGTCTAGTGATACGAAAATTATAGGGATCAACACTTACCTTTTCGAAAATTTCAGCCAGATAAAAGGCTTCCGAAAATTCTAGGTGACCTTTTTAGGGTAAAAATCCGGTAAAAATGGACAATTATACCATTTTTTAGATGTTCGAAAATCTTGGAGATGCAGGCAAACAAGAAGTTTTACAACAAATGTGCCGAAAATTCTAGATCTCAAATCGTCTTCCGAACAGATATTTTCCGAAATTGACGTTGGGTGCCCCTGACTTCAGTCTGACGTTTGCCGTTTGCTGCGCATGACATACGTCTCGGTGTTTTCGGACATAAAATGGAGCACCATTGCTTTCACCTATGACTTTTTTTCTTTGTTTTCAACCGACCAGCTAATTACCTTGAATTCGTGAGTAGGATCACTTCAGCGATAAGTTCTTATGCTACGTGTAAATGAACGCAACAGTTCTCAACATTTTTGGCCCAACAACGTTGGGAGTTGCTGCGTTCGTTTGCACGTACCTTACAGTTACCTTTACAACATGCTGCGGAGCGCGACTGGCAAGGCCTTTTTCAAAATATCTTGGTTCATAATAACAACAACAACAACTTTATTGACTTTATCTTCGACATGAAGATTTCAGTACCAAAACAATGACAAATGAAACAAAGTAAAATAAAAGTTAGATAAGAGCAATAATAGAGTATGAGTGACCCTGGTCACAAAGAACGCTGAATAAAAATGCAAAACCACAGGAACAGTCACGAAATTATGCAGCGCCAACGATAAGCATTCTTATCGCCCTCTCCTCGTTTAGCATACTATTTCGACTCCACAGGGATTGCAAGTTAATGTCGTGTTTTACTATTGACTTCCATCTTTTCGCAAAGTTACGCCAGTGGGTTCTGTGAGTCAAATTTTACCCTCCCTCCTCCTCTTTGGCGACGTCGTCTTACATTGAGTTTTATATGTTAGTATGATTACTACTCATTTGCCGGCCGATATTTTTCAACCTTAACTTTACTACACCTTGTCAATAAGTTACTGTTGTAGCAGTGAAGAAATGGCGTGTTTGTCCGAAGTTTGATTTCAAAGAGATGCAAACTTGTTCCAAGTGAGTTACTAAATATATCATGTCTGTGATTGATGGCGATTATGCGAAAACCAATCTTTATGTAAATTTTCAATACCTTGAATATATTAGAATTTTTTAGGAACCAGAAATTGATAGTGCAAGTAGCTTAAATGTGTATGCAAAATCAAAATTGGAACATTATCGTTAATGCTTGGACTTGACTGTTTCTTGACTCCAATGGCTAATTGCTGGCTTATCAGGTACTCAATCGACCTCCTCGTCATTAGTATGTTGATTGGAGTTAAAATTGTATTCTTTGTTCTGGGATTCAACGTCAGCTATATTTTGCTTGGTTGATGAAAATGTGCCTCCTGAAAGTGCGAAGTCATTTAAACTTGTCACTAGCTTTTTGTAGAAAACGTACGCTTAATTTCAACGTGATTTAAGTTATTTTAGTCGTATGTGTTCTTGGGCTTTTGCTTACCCCTCTGCGCGATTGAGAAAAAAAAAGCAGAAAATAAAAACAGCGTAGACTGAAAGTAAATACGTCATGTCTTGATCCCTACGCACCCATAAGGAAATGTCGTTCCACACAGTGGAGCCGGCTCCATTGCGTGCATCAGTTATGGAACTCCATTTTGTCTCATATGTGCCCGAAGATGCAAAGATATGCAAGAGTCGCCAGAAAGGTCAGAAAACACGTCTTATGTAAAACGTTGTTGTAAAGACTAGCTTGTTATTTCGTCAAAAATACGTTTTTATGTTGTATTCTATTGTATTGCACTTCCCAGTCAAAGATGCTCTATAGCGACAAAAATGGCAAAGTTGTTAATGATCGCTGTGTGGACAGTTACGGCCTTGGTAGGAGATGTAACGGCCATCAACAAGACTAACTGTGATGTGATTCAAGACAGTAGCTTCTGTATACAGTCTCCCTGTATAGAGTCTCCTTGTACGATGCAATGCGGACTGACAACAAAATATGGCAATTGCCAGCAAGTTTGTCATTCAAGAATATGTGAGGTCCTTGCATGTCATGCTTCAGAACTCTGCCAACAGACTGTTGTACAAAGTACTTTTGCGACCATGATCTGCGATGCTATGAGCTGCAGGCAGTCTTGCAGCCTTGGTCAGTGTGGGAGCATGAACTGTCCTAAGTCCGTCACCAGCTGTGTGCAAACATTTGCAAACAAAATGTCTTGTGAGGCGAATTCTTGCACACAATCCTGTCCAAAAGGAGGCTGTCAAATGACTTGTCTTATGGGAAAAAATACCTGTACCCAGGGGGCAATGAAAGGCAGTGCAGTTATGGAATGTGAACGAGGTGCATGCGAGCAGAATTGTGTATCTAGGGGACAATGCAGAATGAACTGTTCATCGAAAAATGTGACGTCAGGAAGCTGTCGGCAAGTGTGTAATGACAGCAATTGTGAATCAATGGTCTGCAATGCTGCAAAATGTACCCAAACTTGCTCTTATGGAGACTGTAACATGATTTGCCTTCCCACAACAAACATTTGCTTCCAGCGTGCACAACTAGGAAGGACAACTCTGCAATGTGATGGCGAATTTTGCCAGCAAAGCTGCTCTAAGGGGGACTGCAGCTTGGTGTGCCCCGTTGGAGCTAAAACATGCGAGCAGAGTGGGGCTGGTGGGAATATAACAATGAGATGCCAAGGAGATGTTTGCAGGCAGACTTGTACAAGTGGTAGCTGCAACTTGATATGCTCTGAAAATGTGAAAGAATGTCATCAAGCATGTTCTACTACACACGGAAATTGCCACTTCAAGTGTGCAGCAAAAACGTGCGAACTTACTTGTTTAGGTCCAGGGGGTTCATGTAATGCTGTCATTAGCGATGGCAATCTTACAATTAGGTCCTTGGCGTTTTTGGAGTTACTGTTAGTAGTAGCTTTTATTGCGATTTTAAATAACCATTTGATTTTGAGAAAATAGCATCCCTAGCATCGGAGGAGGGTGACCATGGCTATCCAATAGAAAATTATGGAAGGCTCCCTACTGCGGTATTTAAATGTCTTTCTTATTTATGTATATATCTTCTAGTCTGACGTATGGTTTGATAAGTGGCGAATACAGCAACTGTCATTTGTTTGAATTATGAGCATATGATGCAAATACTAGGATTTCAGTTATTTCGTCACAAATTTACTTTAAATATACCTGTGCGGTTGGTCTTAAAAGGGAGACAATATAATTAACTGAACTGTTTTCGAGGTAGAGCAAGCCATGATGCATAATGGTTTTTGTTGGAAAAGAGGAAAAACAATTCAGAACTAGCGCCAAGTTTGTTAAGTCGCTTTCCACAATGCAGTGAAATCGTCGAACGGGTACTTTTCTGCCCCTTTTTTGTGTCGATGACCAGAAGAGTATTCCCTTTTATTTTTAGCAACTACGAGACATGCACAGCCAAGGGAGTCGCCTATAGGGATGTGTAACAAATGGTGCTTTAAAGCGTTAAATGACTGCAAACTCTAATAAAGTATTGTATGTCATGTGTATATATCTTGATGAGGTTTCAGTAGATGTTTGAAAGCTTGGGACTAAAGTGTCATTTTAGCGTTCGTATACCCACCACAAATGATTCAGGATCTACCTTTAGTAATAGTCGCTTATTGACAGAAACAAAATCAAATTACTAGCTCTGAAAGTTGTTCCAAACACTTTGCGACGACATGATGTTGAAAAGAGGTTTCGACTCAGTATGGCTGCCAAGACAATGGCTGTATGTGGTGCTTGCTTTGCGGGAGAGCCTATCAACTAAAGTAGGCGCAAACAAAACTATGAACTAGAAAAGGCTCAATTGCGCCTCAGGGCCAAAGCCTTTTTCCGCGGTTCGTTGGCACTTAAACACTGCGTCTATGCATTTCCAATACATAATATTGGGGCTCCCTGCTGATCCACAACAATATCGAACTGAATATTGTTATATAAGCTGTTTGGCTGCTATTGTTGAGAAACGTGACCGCTTTCCTCATCTGAACATTCAATTTCCTGGGGCTTGAGAAATCACAATGCATTTGTCAACATCGATACTGTTTCATTTCTCGAAGAAGGCAGAGAAGGTAAGGTTGAAGGTCTTTACGCTGATTTGCACCGTACGTGGACCCCGTAGGTGACTGAGGACCCGCACTGAGAATCCTAGTTTACGACGCCGACATCATAACTTACACTAGCTTATCACTGCCAACTTATGGTTTACATTTGTATTTGACAAGAAATTAATGGACCGAAATTTTAACGTGTAAACTTAGCACCTGTTTTAAACGGTGTAGAAGTGTTACCTGAGTGCAACACAAACATCACTTCATCTCATCATGGAAAAAGATGCACTATCTCAGTGCAAGGCTTCAGTAACCATTGCATTTGTTAATAACGAAACTGTTTCTTCCATCCTGTTAATTAAGTACGCGTTAGTAACAATTTATTACTTGCCGACAACATTTGCTGTAGGCCAACATATCTGAATGCGATAATAGGCTTAAAACGCATTAAGTTTTGAGTGGCTTTTGGCAGATCGCCTATGTAAGTTAGTCATCCATTGTCATAATTTTAATTACTATGAATGCAGATAACTAACAAATTAAGGTGAGGGGATTTCAATTCGCCACTTTACAAACGAGAAAGGAACTGGGCCTAGAACACTTTCGCAAAGACGTCTGGGGTTGTTACCAGGGAAAGGGAAAAAAAATTGGCCAGTAGCTGACCGACTCTTCCCCAGTAACGATCCCACAAGCAACTGCGCGACACATTTTGGCTGCAGTTCCCTTACTCGTTTCTAAGGGGCTGTTTACATGGAGGGAGGAAGATCCTGGTACCAGGAGGATCCTAGAAGGTGGAATCTAACTTTACGTTGGATTTACATGCAGAAATTTCGGCCCGTGAGTTGTCCAAGTAGAGAAGGTTAGAGAAGGAATCAAAAATGGCGCACGACAAAATCAAAAATGCAATTTGGGTCCCTCTGCTCTCTTTATTGGCGTTAATCACTACTTTTCAGCTGAATTAACACAATAATCTACTGGTGGATTACTCCAAACGAAATGGTCAGCATTTATTGCCGTAATTAGCCACTGAACGAGCCGCCGACATTTTTGTCGCGTTTGTCCCTAGTACTAGGATCTTCCTAGCGAAAGCAGTTTACATGGTGCTAGGATCTTCCTAGTACCAGGATCTTCCTACCTCTCAGCTAGGAAGATCCTAGCATTAGGGACAAGTACAACCCTTTGCATGTAAACTGAATACAGGAAACATATGGCGCTAAGATGATCCGCCCTCTAGGATCTTTTTGCAACTAGGATCTTCCTCCCTCCATGTAAACAGCCCCTAAAGTGGCGAATGAGACAACGCTGAGTCACACTTAATTTCGGTTCTATTTTGACACTTGGAAACTGTAAATCATTCAAATGACGACAATGAGACAGGTACTGCTGTAATAAACTTGCGGAGGCTACTTTCACCGTCACTTTGAAGACACTAGGGACCTTGGCCCGGTTCCTCGAAAGACGGTTAAATTTAACTCAGGAATAAGTTTTGGTTAGCTTTTCTAGTTTAAGAACATGAAAGTCGAGCTTACAAAATACTGTTGTGCCTTTACTTCGAAAAAAAGAAACGATAGCACAAAATGTTTCTCTAGGCAATGCACAGAAAGTTAAATACAAAAAGTGGAACAAAATTTTAATCGTGGATTAGCGCTTATTGGCCTCTCAGGAACCGGGCTCTCTTGGTCCTTAAGATTCGACGACGGCGATGGCAACGAGAACTTCAAAAAAGCAATAGGTTTGATAAGCAAAACAATAACTTAGCACGTGCATAACGCTTTTTTTGTAAATTTCTTTTCCATCACTGCGAGACTACGACGTCAAACATCCCAATTTCACGTTTTATGGAGGAAGTGAACAAACGACGACAAAATTTTCTTTCTTTTTCTGAACTTGAATATTGCTCTTTTGAATTCAACTCCAGGAGAGTTCGCCTTTATTTGACGAAGTAAGTGAGTTGGAATGATATCGTTGACGATTGATATAACGCGAGTTCACTTCTTAAGCGACGTTTTCGCCACCGTCGCCGTCCTCAGATCTTAAGGTCCCTACTATTTTTACATCTCCCACTGGAGACGAGATCGCCATTTTACGTGGTCATACGCGAAACGCGAAGGCCAAGCCGTTTGCAAAGCAAAGGCAATACCTTTATTTCTCAGTTATTTTAAGGTTCCGAGTACTAGATCGAGCCCTCGACCCCCTGCACTACAGTCATGCGTTCTATCGACTGAACTAATCCTGACGCGGTTAAATAAAACGAACACTCCTTCTCACTGATTAGAAAAGTCGGCTCCAGATGCAAAGTGAAAACAATGATATCTTTTTAATCTTTTAAATTTGTTTCATTTAAGTGAAGGGCAACAAGAAACTAGGAAAGAACGTTTAAAAGAAGTAGAAGTATAGTGCAAAGGCATGGCAACTGCATAAGTGCATCGATGGAGAAAAAGCA